CAATAGATAAAAATACATCTACTGAGAATTAAGAAACACTCCCCAATTAACATTGATAAGACCAGGCGAAGAACGAAGCTAGATGATTAATATCTGATATGATAAAATATACATTAGTTTAAACAGTTGTATGCATTATATTTTATTCTCACTAAACGAATAGTTTAGGTGGGAGTTCAGGTGGGAGGATTCAAACATTAGACGGGCTTTCGTTTGCCAATCTGAATATCACTGGAGGGCATATAGTTTTTTACCTTTTTTTTCTTTTGTGAAATTTGAAATAACTTGTGTTTTTTTAGCATAATTGATGATCATATGAATTCGTTGCAGAAAATTAGTAGTGTGAGTGGGTTTAAGAAATGTCCGACCCAAAGTCTGATTATTTGAAAATTCTGAGTCTCAAGTCGTACCAATTCTTTTCAAAATGAAGCCTTTTTCTCAATTTGTTCTTCAGGTGTGGGAGAAGAGTGGTTACAACACAGTTGAATGGGTTCGTTACATAACTAAAGCGGGATCATACGAGATCCGGTGTTAGAATTATGGACAAGACCTTAGTCACGAAGTGTAAAAAAAGAAGAAAAAAATCAATTGAATTGATAGAGAATATGCAAAGCGTTCTCAGTCGACACTCTGGTTATTCCGAGCGTATTTAAGGGAAGCTTCATGGGAGAGACTGGTAGATTTCGATGGATCATTCGGGTTGCTTTGCTTTTGTTTTGTTTTGTTTTTCTTCCCCCTCTGAGGTTTAGCTATTTGATGTTTATACTGTTAGCTATATGTAAACCAAACTTCTACATTCTTTCCTCCCTCCTTTTTGCTTATTATTTTTTTGGAACAACATTATTTCTTGTGGCTGCCTGCTGATTTCTGTTGTAATCAAAGGTTTTGTAGTGAAAATTTTCTCTTCTTTGGATGAATTTCTTTGATCTTGGCTTGTGATTAACGTTGTGATTCTGTGAAGATTCTTTAATTTTACGATAATTTTTCTTTTAGTCCAAAATTATATTGATATTTAAAGTTATTGACGAAGTGATTTTCTTAAAGTCATTCTGGTTGATGATGAGGTATTCGGGTATTAGTGTCCTGGTGAAAATTGAAGTCTTTAATTTAGTTTTTTATTTTTGTTTTTGGAATTATTCTTAAGAGGATTAAAAATCAAATGATTGTAAGTGTTTTCATTTGAAATTATTGGTTTAGATACTATTTTTGCTTTTGTTTATTTTGGTTCATGTTTTTCAAAACATTTATTTTGATTGGTGTTTCCATGGCTAAGGCTTACTTTGGCAGATTTAAGCCTTAGCAGATTTTAGGTGAGGGTGGAGGAGTAAGATGGGAGGTGAGTGGTCGATAGTGAATGCACCAACGCATAAGTAAGAAGAGAGATAAGAGAGGTAAGGGTTGTTAGGGGACAAGCTCACCCTTTCGTATGGTTCCATGCTTGATGTGCAAAATTGCTTCGTTTAGAATGCAAGCAAGGTTGCACGTAGGCCTTCTACCTCCATGTGGTATTGCTTCGTCGGGTTTTCGCCCATTGCGAAAAATTCCCCACTGCTGCCTCCCGTAGGAGTCTGGGTCGTGTCTCAGTCCCAGTGTGGCTGATCATAAATCTTTGTTCATTTTGATTTATGTATTTTTGAAATTTTTGATGGTGAAAAACATGATCATTAACCAACATGAGCATAGTTCAACGGTAATTCACATTTATTCATTTCCTTTGATTTCCATATTTCCAATTTTGATGTATTAAAAAAAAAAAGTCAAAAGTAATAAGGCGTTCATTTAGTAGTACTTTAGGATGGCACGAAGGCCAGAAGGATAAAATTATTATTATTCAAGTAAAATAACTTCGGTTATTATTATTTTAATAGAAATTATTTCAATTATAAGTCATTTATGAAAAAAAATATATATATATATATTTAGGTCACCGCTTTTTTAAACTTGAAAGTAGTCAATTTTCCACAACGAAAACTACATTTTTTTTAACCTTTCAGAAAATAGAATAAAATAAAATAAAAATACCAGTTCCTGTTCAAAGTTTCAAACCCTAAAAAAAATTTATAATAATAATAAGAAAATAAATAAATTATAAAAAAAGGGGTAAGAAATTCAATTTTGACTTCAAAATTGGCAAAGTGTATCAAGTTTTCCTTTAAACTCTTATGTTATCAAATTCCACTCTAAACTTGGATATGTTATAATCTTTGATTTAAACTTTAAAAATATTACAATTTCTACCTTCTAATAAGTTCTCGTTTGAAGAATTATCGAAAAAAATATTTTTGTACGCACAAATAAATTATAAAATTTATATATGATATGAAATTGATAGAATTGAGATAAAAATTATAGTAGAGCTAATTTAAAAATTAATAGTAGATTTTATGCACTAATCAAACATAATTTTGTCCAAAATTTAGATTTTTAATATTATTTTTTGTATTGTAAATAGGGGGAGAATTAGTAGAAGAATGGAATAGATAGTAAAATTACAACATTTATGTAAGTTTAGAATCTGAAAAACAGCATCTTGTTTGTGTTTGAACTTTGAATCCAATTCATATATATAATGTTTTCAAAATAAAAATTGATATTTATTTTGAGCATAAAATTTAGAAGCCGTAGGGCAGTTTAGGGAGTTGGTTCAATCCATCGGCAGAAGTAAGAAAGAAAAAAGGGGGAGAAAATTCAATCGCCAACAAATCCAAAGCCAGAACAAGAAATCAGAAAACCAGACACCAAATTCCGCTCTCTTTCTTCTCAACATCTCCATCTCTCTCTGTGATTCGATCGATTCGGTCGTTGCAGTGTGGAGATGCGCTTCTTCAGGAGGATTGCAGGAATTCTAGGGTTTGCCAAGGACGATTCTCATGACCTCAAGAACGAAGACGAAGATGTTGATTCTGATAACCAGCCTTCCAATCGGGTTCATATGCAGGAAACTGGTCTTCCTCGGAGGGGCTTCAGCGTTCCGGTCCAGGTCGCTGTTAATCGGCCGCAGCCCGGCCCTATTCTTGTTCCCTCTAGTTCCGGCGATGGTGGAGTTCAGGTCCCATCCTCCTCTCGCTTTTCTGAATTCTATCACCTCTTTTTCATTTTATATGACTGCTGGATTGTTTGTGTTTCCCGATGGTTCATGAATGAATTTCGCTATTTTCTCTAAGGCAAGTCTCGAAAATCTATAATCGTCATTGTTCGTAGTAGGTCATTATGAGTTCAAAATTATCTGCTGCTTCTAACAAACGTGTTGATTGTTGGTTTCCCTGGTATTTGTCCGTGGATTCAAATTATATTTTCTTTTGAAAATGGGTTAGTGCTTTTGTTTATGTTAGCTCAGAATATTTGGAGACCGTAAATCTTTTCGAAATGGTTTCTTTTGGCATTTATGAAGTTTTGCTGACACAACCTCGTCATAATAAATGCTTTTCAACTGCATCTAACCTTTGTCCTTTTCCTTTTTCTGTTATTTTAACGATTCAACTAATTCCTATCTAAAGAAGAAGAAGAATAAGAAAAGGAAATAACGATCGTCTTGTAAATATTTTTCCTCGGGGAGGATACTGAGCAATCAAAGCCATTTAAGTTTCTGATCCTTAGCTGTTGAAGTATGTAAAAAACTTTAGTAGCTTCTTTCGAATATTATTATTATGGGTATCAATTATGTTTGGCTGATTAAATATGTCAATGAATATGTTGTTTCTATGAATACGATGTTGATGAGATGCCAAAACAGCAATAGAAGGGAAAGAAATTTGAACCATGGAGGAAATGAACTTAAGCAAATAATTCACCCATTTAATTGACTCTTAACCCCGTATGACAAGTGTGGGTTAAAGCGGGCTATGTTAAAGGTTAAATAGACTCTGTAATACCATATTTTATTAGGACTGTCTACAAGGGGCTTAGTGATTAAGAAACTCTCTAATACCTATAATTCCAATGGAAATTGGAACACATGGACGCTCTCAGCGATAGAAGGGTTATTAGTCTGCTGTACTCAACTACGTTCTAAATAAGCCGAAACTGAAAAAAAAAATTAAAACAATAACCAAACAGAATGACTTGCAGAGTATTTTCTAAAAGAAAAAGAAATACGTTCATTCAAACTTGAGGTTTTAGGTCCGAAGAAGGTTGTTTATTCTCTATTCACCAAAGTTACCTGTCAACCGAAATCATAACCAAATCCATCTGTATCAGGTTCCTCCCCTGAAAATTTTCCAGTACAAGACTCATGGTACTGAGGGACCTTATGTTGTTGAGACCTCAAATCTGGCTTTTTTTTGGTTGGTAATTGGTATGAATGCACTATCCACATGATGGGTAGTATTGAGACCTCAAGTCATTGCATGGTTTATAATATTTGCAAGTTTTCTTCCTTTGTACTCCATTGGTTATAGCACTTGTTTCTGGTGAAAGTTTGGTGGTGGTTTTTGTCATTTGCAAGGTTGGAATGATGGCATGTTTGTTAATTCTGGAATGATGGCATGTTTGTTAATTCTTGGCATATTTTTTCATATTCAGGGTTTGAAATGGTATGCTAATCGTCTCCGGGTTGATGAAGATGGAGATGTAGCTGAACAGTTCCTCGATGAAGTCTTACCTGAGATGCCAACCAGTACTACAGACCACCCCAAGTCATTTCCAAGATTTCAGGTGAATAGTAGAAATAGGCCAGCCAAAGTAGAGAACCAGGTTATATTGCAGGAGGGTAAACTTCAACAGTGTATTAAACATCAAGGTAGATTGCAATGGGTATGAAAAAAAACCCAAAAAAACGATCCCTTCAGGCGATGGTGGGTCAAGGTTCATTCTTTTAGTTTGTTACATATGGTGAATTTATGAGGACCATCTGTCTCATCTTGATGACAAAAAAAGAACATTGCTTAGAGTACAGAAGCTTGCATCAACTATAATAAAAGGGGTCTATATATTAGAGGCTTTGGTGGATAACACGGCTCTTTCCCAAGTGTTATAATTGTACTGCTGATCATTGAAAACGCCCAGATGGACACACAGGAATTCAGAAAGGGCACTAACACATTAACCATTTGAATGTTAAAACTTGAAGGTGTTGTTTAATCTCTCTCTCCCCTTCTTCTTCTTCTTCACTTGTCATTTTGGGGGGTTGCATTTATGGAGTCCCAGATTGTGTATTAGTTGTGAGTGATTGGTATTTTTTTAGTATAGTCAGCTTTTGGTGAAGTGTGAATCTATGGATATGAAGATGGAACTTTAAAGTGCACCAAAATGTTTATTATGTGTGTTGAAACAATTCAAAGTCAATTATTTGATTCTGACTTTCATTATGTTTTGTGTTTTTGGAATCAGTTTTCTTGATGATACTACCTTGTGGTTTTGTATCAGGTCCTTTTAACATTTTTGCATAACTTGAATGAAGATTTTTATGTTCATGCTTAAGTCAATTTTTTTGTTCTGATTAGTATTGTTCTCTCAGTGTGGTTTCTTGGATAATGTAGATTGAAAATAAAAACTATATAAATCTTTGTGGGTGTCTATTAAAAAAATAAACTATTTTAGTAACAAAGTTTTATTATTTATTTTTTCTTTTTTGCATTGGGGAAGGGGTAGAAAATAGACTTCGATTGCAATATATATTGCATTGTAATTTTAAAATAACTATCTAATTCGTATATAATCAATATTCTAATCGTCTATCTTATTGACAATTCAAAATTTTGATTGAAAAATGAGCAAGAAACTAAATATGTCCGAGAGGAGGAAAATAGAGTTGAAGGTCAATTTCATAAAACCTTTTCAGTTGAAGTCTCAAATTTACAAATAATGCATAATGTTCTCCTTTTTAAACCAAATTTTCTATCATTAGAGAGAACTAAAATGAATATGTAAGTCAAGAATTAAATAGCTATCAATATCAATTAATAAGCTTCCTAGTTTCAGAGGCTCATCAAAAAATTATTCACATTTATTTAGTTAATTAATCAACACTAACACTTTTGGGAGTTGAACATAGTTTAAATGGTTAAATAGTTTCAGAGACTCATTTGAATTTTGAATTAATTAAGAGTTAAATTACAAATTTAGTTTTCGAACTTTAAAGATGGTGTCAAATAGGACTTGAACTTTAAAAGTGTCAAATAGATTCTTGAACTTTTAATTTTACGTTAAATGAGTTATGCCGCTAACTCACCACTAGTGCTTATTTGCTTGTTAACTATAAAATTTAAATATTACATGGTTAGGATGTATTAAATAAAACTTTCCACATGTGATAAGTTTGATAGATCTAAAAATGGGACGAGTTCTACAGTAAATTTGGTAGAACTTATTTAACCGTTTTTAAAGTTTAAAGACTTATTTAATATCTCCGAATTAAAATTATAATTTAGCCAATAAAATATATTTTCTCTCTAAAATTTAAGTAAATATTTTAACTCCTTAAAATTATTCTAATTAAGTTTTAAAACTTAATTGACTGAGAGAGTCAACTAAATCAACGGTTGATATGGTTCTATGAATTCTACGGGTAGGCGCTAGAACACCGTATAACCGCTCCCCTCGTCCTTTTCTGCGTTACGTTATCTCATCGCTGCACCTTCACACAACTGACTCTCTCGCCGGAGCTTCACAAAGCAACCATAACATATGGACGTTCTCCTTCCCTGCACCTCCCCCCGTTCAGTAAATTGGAAGTTGGAATGCTCTCGGAGATTCCTCTCGCCAAATCGGAACCGTCGCTTTTCCGACCTCTTGAAATGCCGCCGAAAAACGACGTCGACTGAGCTCCAGGCAGCTATCGATGTCGCCGGCCGGACCGACAACGGTTCTGCTTCAATTCCGACTCATAAGGTCACCGTTCACGACAGACAGAGAGGCGTTGTTCATGAATTCGTTGTTCCTGAGGTACGCCACCAGCTTACTCAATTTTGTAGAATCGATAAGCCCGAAGTTTTGAAATCTTCTTGGTAGATAGTATTTTATTGTTTAATGGTTGTGAGGCGCGGGTAATAAATTCAAAAATGCAGGATCAGTACATATTGCACACTGCCGAAGCTCAGAGCATATCTCTTCCTTTTGCTTGCAGGCACGGTATTGTTCCCTAATTCACCAATTATTGACGAACTCTGTTCATTCTTGTTAATAATAGAATGTATGGGGCGTTGGATGAGTAATTTCACTTGTCTGTAAAATGATGTTTCATTGATTTATTTACATTAAGTGCCATGTAAAAGATTGTAGCTGCAAGTTCGTAGTAACTTTGTGAAATCATATCACACGGAGTTTTTCTTTTTCTCTATCATGTAAAAGTAAAACTATTTTTCCCCTGCTCTTCTCTCAGTTATTGCTTCCTGCAATAAAAGCCATTTTTCTAATTCTATTTGATCTACATTATTAGTACATTCCATGTTCTGAAATTACTTGTCTTATGACAGGTTGTTGCACTAGTTGTGCTGTTCGAATAAAATCAGGCGAAATTAGACAGCCTGAAGCCCTTGGAATATCTGCTGAGCTGAAATCAAAGGCAATTTATTTTACTTGATTCTAGACTTGATTTTTGAGAATAGATTGCTAGTACGTGAAGAGATTGCTATAATCAGAAATCACGTAAATTTCTACGTTGAATTTCTTAAGTATGAATACTGATTGATTTGCTGGGGAAAAACCATGAAGCAAAATGTGAGATTATGCATTAGCCATTAAGATGCTCCAGTCCAGATTTTACTGGAAACTTCTCATTATTAGACAAGAATTTTGAGCCGCGAAGTTAGATTTTACCAGGTGAGCACGGTAAACTTATTTAGTGCAAGTATGTCTAGGTATTTGATAGGAACCAAATAGCTAAAATAGATTGAAAGATAAAAGGATAGAAGGATTACAATAATCCAAGTCATTCGAGGTACTTGGACCCTTCTCTCTCTTGAGTATTCTTACACAAGTCTAAACCATACTAACCGTTACCTACCTTCATCCTTTCCCCCTCACTATATTTATAACTAAACTCCATAACCCAATTACTAATATACCCTTAATATCCTAATAATATTCTCAATTCTATTTTAATAGCAATCCTATCAGTATTCTAAAAGCAACTGCTGCTAATTGAGGATGAGATAGTGTAGTTGAGTTTGCGTTAGGGACAACGGGCCCTTCACATCTCCAGAATGGTATGATATTGTCCACTTTGGGCATAAGCCCTCATGACTTTACTTTTAGTTTCACTCAAAAGGCTTTGCACCACTGGAGATGTTGTTCCTCATTTATATACCTATGATCTTCCCCTTATCTAGTCAATGTGAAACTTTGACCACGTTTTCAACAATCCTCCCCTCTAACAAAGTACCATCAAGCCTCTCCTCAAATAGTCAATCATACGTGTTTACTCTCGAGCACATCACCTTTAACCAAGCCAACTCCTCTTTTTTGAATCACACCACCTGTCCGATAGAGCTCAACCACAAATCACCATGACTATCTCTGAGGCTCACAAATTCTTTGTTCGGCACTCGAAGCCGACATGACTAAGTTAGGGGCATGACTCTGATACCAATGAAATAACATGAGGGCTTATGTCCAAAATAAACAATATCATACCATTATGGAGATGTGAAGAGTCTGTTGTCCCTTACAATATAGCTATGATCTCTCTTATCTAGCCAATATGAGCCTTTGGTCACATTCCCAATAGTTTGTATAGCAACTTCTAAACCCCGACCTTTATCTTGTGTTTAATAAGTTCTTGAATTAAAAAATGGACCCTATTGCGCACGATTAGACACTTTTAAAGTTCAAGAATCTTTTAGACATAAAATTGAAAGTCTAATAACTTATTAGACACAATTCTAAAAGTTCAAGACTAAATTTGTAATTTAAGCTTATTATTATTTACTTGTAGGGAAGGAGTTGTAGCTATGTTTAAGCAACAAGAAGTTGCCATATGTTTGGAATTCCCTCCCTTAGAATTTACTTTTATAGAGGTGCTTACTAAAGAAGCATCCAGCGCAGTAGTTATAACCATGACAACGTTAAAGATAATAACTACATTGCTGATTGATATTCCAAATTATTCTCTACACTTCAGGGGTATGCACTTCTTTGCGTAGGTTTTCCAACCTCAGATGTTGAAGTTGAAACACAAGATGAGGATGAGGTATTGTTTCAAATCTCTGCCACTCCGTAAGTGGAATGTGGAAGCATATTTCTTTATTTTTATAATTATAAGCTTCATAAATCTATTTTTCCCTTATAGCTGTCTCAATTAGCCTAATTTGTGTGTTTCCAGTCATGAATTATTGTTGGAATTGGTTAAACCGAAGTTCTGTTTGTTTGGCCTAATTCAACATGTTGCCATGTTGGTATTTTTTTAGTGATATGGTCATTTTTTCTTGCTATTTGAAGTTCAAATTGTGAAAATGTAAAATAAGGTTTTTAGCTGTTTGTGGGAGTTCCATTTAAACAATCCTCCACTACACATGCAGGTATATTGGCTTCAATTTGGAAGATATTTCGCTCGGGGGCCAATTGTAAGTTCTTTACTTCCTTAGATCTACCAAAATTTACTGGGAGATGAAAAATATTGTAAGAGAAAGAAAAGAAGTAAATAAAAATGATCTTTCTTGAAAGTTGACAATTTACTAAATTGTCCAGGAGAGAGATGACTATGCTCTGGAGTTGGCCATGGCTGATGAGTAAACTATTGATCCTAGAGGATCTATGGACTGATTCATGAATGGTTTACCACGAATGCTGTAGAGGAGCATTACTCTGCTCAACTTCATCTTCTTCCTTCATTTATATGGTTTATGACTGTTAATATCATAGGAGAATGAAACAATTATCCCTGTTCTTTTTGATATTTCCTTTGGCCACTAAGCTTTCTCCCTTTGTTTTCCTCATTGATGGGAAGTTTGTGTACTCTTGAACACAAAAAATGGAGACGGTTTATTTTGGAGGAATGCGAAGATGTTCTGATAGGGCATTTCAGTTAGAGAGAACCCCAAATCAATAATTTAAATCTGCTAGGTTATATTCTTATCCGAAGTCAACTAACCAAACCCTCTCTTTGGTAGGTCTTTGTTACATCCTCTCCCTGTAAACACAAAACCACTACATTTTTCAGTTCAAGAAATATGTAGAAAAAAGAAAGGCCAAAAAGGGGTAAAAGTAGGAAGGAGAAGCAAAAAAACACTCCCCAATGAGGAAGATTTATAGTTGTCACATTGTGAACTCCAAATGACTGCATTTTCAATCCAAAAGAATGTAGGAATCAGCTGAAAGAGCCCAAAGTTAAAAGAGTAGAGATGCCTGCATCATTCCACCACAGGACATATTCAAAACCCATCTTTGGTGCTTGTTTTACCCATAAATTCTTTTTTGGGTATTTTATGAACAATGGACATAGTAAGATGAAAGTTTATATACAAGTTTAGAAGGCACATATATCTCACAAGTATAAATCTTTTTTTCGCCTTGAAGAACAGCTTATATAATTCTTATTAAATTCTTGGTTTGGCTGTTTTGGAGGAGAATGATAGAAAGAAAGATCTTGTCTCTTAGCTCGACAAGACAAGACTATTAGTGGCCAGATCAACTATTCAGAGCATTGACACACGACGATTATGGTAAGATTCAAGTCTTGTTACCATGAGTTAATGATTTTGATAGAAAGATTATTTGGCTAAACACATGAGAACAATGAGGATGATAAGGTTATCCATTTCCATCCTAGTCAATTGATTTTGAAGCCGAAACCAAAAGCAATAATGTATAAGACACAAGAAACAATAAAAGAGAAGGAGAACTATAGGTAAGAACTCAGCTAATTTGGTTAAACCGAATGATAAACTTCGAAAACTCCTCAAGTTCTTAGATCGGAAATTTGGCTACATAATTGAAGTTCTTTGAGCTTGTATGATGTTAAAGTAGTTCTAAATACAAGCCTTTCGGTTTTTTTTTTTTTTTTTTGCTCTTTGGAAAATGACTCTTTTGTTGTCAACCTCACACTTTGTTGTATTGCCCCTTAACTTCTGAGGGAGAATAAAAAAGTGGCATCTTTTCCGATCCCTTTGTATCCTCTTCCTTCTGCTTTCTAAGTTAGGTCAAATCAATGTCAGCCTGAAGAACTTCAAAGTAGAAGAGGGAAAATCAATGGAAAATAACTCAGATTCCCATTTCAACTGATTCAGGTCCCCCACTTCTTCCCCCAAATGGTTACAATGTTAGGCCTTCAAGTCTGTGGTGGCCATTGGCCATTGCAAGCTAACCTTGTTTTGTCTCCACTTAGTCCCTCCACATGTATGATTATGATCTTTTGTATACGAAGGAGACTCATATATCGTTCCATTCTAATCGAAATCAATTGCTATATATCGACGTACTGATCCATCTATTTCAAGTGAAAGATCAACTCGAACCTTTTTGACACCAAGCACAAGTCACCGAAATGAATTATGTTCCTTGTATTAAAGAGCCGATCTAAATGGAGGAGTGGTAAGACAGGACCCGCCATCCAATTTCTCTGTACAAAGTAGATAAGAAGGACTGCATAATTTAACTGAGAATTGAAGAGCTTGGCATCGGATGACCAGCTTTTAGTTAAATGAGTCCAAAGTGCTAAAGGTTAAAACTTTTGCACTCAGTTTCAAAATCTGATTTCTTCCCAGCAATTTTGTGGGGTAGAAGCAGTTTGGTTGCAGAATCAACAAGTACTGATCTGCTTAAAATTTGAAGGCAGAAAATGGACAATCAGAGCGCCCACAGGGGACCAATTTCAGCTGATGACCTGATAATTTGCACCATGTGAATGAGCACAGAGATAATGATAGTTGTTTTAGTAACTTCCTTTGGAGCTGAAGGCTAAATTTACTCGACCCCTCGTCGGGACCATCCGTCGTGCTCACTTTTCATTTTGGTCCTTGATCGTTTTTATCCTATGGTTCTCTTTTATAACTTGTCCCTACGAAGGCCTATCGTGTCAGTTTATCATTAAAGCTGGAAAATATAGTAGGGATCAATCTGACATCAAATGAATTTTAAGGACCAGAATACAACTTCAAAATCAATATGTGCGAATTAATACTTAAGATCCTGTTTTTTCGTGGTAGATTTTCTGTTTTTGAAAATTATGCTTACCTCCTCTATATTTTTTTTGCATGTTTATTCACGATTCTTACAAGTGCATTGAATGCTTAGCCAAATTTCAAAACCGAAAACAAGTTTTTAAAAACTACTTTCTTTTAGTTTTTAGAATTTGGTTTAGATTTAAAAAATAATTTTGATAACAAGCAAAAAACAGATAGGCGAGAGTAGTGTTTAAGCTAAAATTCCAAAAATAAAAAACGGAAAATAAAATAATTATCAAACGAGACTGGAATAAGTATTATTTTCGAAGCTGTAGTTTTGTCCTTCTCTCTCTTTTGGTCCCAGCTGAACAAAACTCACATGGATCAAAGTCAATTAGTATCTGAATTGACTGCAGAGCATTATGTTGTGATAATGAAGCAAAAGCAGTTGACAAGTCAAAAAGCTGATTTCTGATATGAACTTTTTCTGTGCAGTCCACCAAAGTGAAGGGTAAAAGAAGAAGAAACCAAAATCCATCTTTATCCAACAGTTATATTACACTCAGCATAGTATGAAATGTTGGCCATAGGAGGCCAAAAACTAATTAAATCATACAAATATCATTCAAGCACTGTGAAGACGACGAAAAACGCAACATTTAAAGTTCACGCGCAGAAACACAGCTCTATACAAGTGAATATCAAGAAGAACCTCCATTTGTCGAGTCGCAAACACGGTGGGAGGGCATTTTTACGAATGTTGCATAGCCGTAGTTGTTGAATTTGAGACAACCAAGATTACGATAACTTCAGATATTAGGCTTTCTGATCGATCGCGCTTGCGCTTGTCGACATCTACATAGAAAGACATTGATATTGTGAGATGCCAAAATGTATGACTTCTCTTCACACTAAAGTAAGAAATGAAAGTGGAAAGATGGAACAAAAACTAAGGCTTGTAGCAGAATCTTTGAAAAAAAAGTTAACTTTTAACATTTGGTATCAGCTCTGTTTGGTGTTTTCAGCTTTCTGATGAATTCTTATTTCTAAACCAGAATCCGCGAACTACTAATGATTTAGATCGAATGGCTTAGTTTCAAATCTGTGTTCATATCAAAAGGAGAGCAACTAATGAAAACTAACGAACAAAAATGAAGTTTTATACTGACCCCAACTGATGTCACAAAATTGCATACTGCACACTTCACCGAGCGCGCGCCATACTGATACATCAGTAGCATCCTGCAGTTCCCGCAGCTGACGTGCGCCACCTGATTCGCTGCACCAGTACACATTTGATGCTAAATTCACATGAGTTTATGCCTTAGAAAACCAAGATCCGCAGCTGCAAACTATTCTCAGAAGAACCGAAGCGAATATATGCTCTTTGGTGAATAGAGAATCAACAGTTACCTATAACATATGCAACAACATAATGCTGCTATTTATGATGGGAACTAGTTAGGAGTTGTTCTAGGCATCCCGAGCAACTTACCAAGATTTGTTCGAGATTTGTAAAGTTACTAAGATTTGTTCGAGATGACTAAGAATCGCACTCGACAATAGTTATATCTCTATACCTTCCAAAGCTAAGTTGACGGTATGGCAACAAGAACATTGTACGCTTGTAGCACCGCGGATGTACATGAGAAGAGTATGGCAGCCCCCACACACCAATTGTGCCATTTCTGTGCCTGTTTACACATAAAAGCAACTAAAACTCATAATCTTTCTTCTAAAGAAAAAGAACAGAATTCCCTACCGCACTTGTACTATTCATTTTCAGGTTGAAAGTAGAAATCCGAAAAAGGGAGACGAAGAAGAAGAAGAGGAAGAATGAATATACCGGGAGGCGGTACGGCAGTAACTGCATTACAAACTGCACAGCAAACAGAGGTTGCCCCAACTGGATAAAGCAAAAGGTTTCTGCATCCGGAGCACACCAGCTGGCTTTGTGCAGCTGAAGACCAACAAAATCCCCATTTTATAGCTTAGTTGAGTACCAATAACAGATCACTGATCTATGAAAACAAAGGCCAAGTTTGAACGGTTTAGTTTTCAGTTTTCTGTTTTTGAAAGCTTTCTCCCCCACTTCTTTGACACATTTGAATTTGTAGCCAAATTTGAAACACAAAATTAAAAATTCATTTTTTAGTTTTCAAAATTTTGCTTAGATTTTGTTTTTGAAAATGCTTCTAAAAGGTAGATAACAAAAATAAATAAACATATCGTTGGAATGCTGTTTATAAACTTAATTTAGAAAATCAGAATGGTTATAACACATAGAAAATCCAATCTAATTTTGAAAACTTGATTCTTGGAATATAAACCAGACTCTTGGAATTGACAGCTCTTATTAAACTTAATGGACTTGTTAAAATTCCATTGAGAGTGAAGAGAATGACTAAAGACTCAAGGGAGAAGGGAAACCAATAGACATCCCAACCAGGAATTTGGAAAATGGGAACGATGGGCTCTTGTGGTAACGTTTCCGTCTCTTATTTCTCGTTTTCAATTTTCTTAAAAAATCTAAATATTTTGCAACTAATTTTATTTCTCGTATCTCCTTTTTTTTTTAACATTCTCACAGTTGTATAGAAAATTTGGAAACAACCAAAATGAGTTTCTTCTCCACATTTCTAAATTGTTTCAAAACATAAATAAAAAGATTATTTTATCATACTTCAATTCATGGAGATTGGAGCCACATTTTTCTTCGTTAAAAATGAAAAAACAGAAACAATAAATAGGAACATTACCAAACAGACATTTTCTCAGCAACCAAACAAGAATGTAGTTTGGGAATGAGCAAAATACCATTAGCAGGTGGTGTATATGGTGCTGATGAAGTTGGATATGGGGCAAGAGGAACTGGTGGCATTTTGCAGCTTGAAGAAGGCAAAATCTTCTCTGTTTAACCCTCTCTCTCTCTTCCAATCAAGCTCTTGAAAAGCTCACTGCCTCAGCAACAGACAACTTTAGCTACCTTCCCATGGAAAATATATCTCTGGAGAAAGTTCACAGAAAATACAGAGAATCAAATAAGCTAACAAAAAGAGAGAGAGAGAGAGAGAGAGAAGTGTAGATTTGATAGAAAATTGCTTCATTGGTTGGGCAAAAATTTGAATGAAATGAAGGAATTTGATGAGTGACGAGTAGAACCCTCAAAAGCAGGACAGTTCATAAATGTATTACTGGAAAAGAAATATGGAACAAACCAAATATGAAGAAAACCCAGCAAAAAAGAAGCTGGAGAAGAAAAGCTTGGAAAGGCAATGGAATTTTGCTGGGCAAATGAGAAAGTGGGGCAAGTGGAAATTCATACATTTTGCAATTGCAACTTGCTGTAGAGAGAGAGAGAAAGAGAAAGAGAGAGGATGTAAAAATTTTGACATTTTTCAAAGTAACCAAGAAAGAAAGAGAGAGCAAATAGGATAACTTTTACCCTCTAGCTTTGTCTTTCTCCATTTCCTTTCTTTGACAAAGTTCTTTCCATTGGCTTCTCTCAGCACCAAAAATTGTCTAACCCCTAGAGCATGTTACCCAAACTAAAATCGAAAAAAAAAACATTCAAATCCTTTTTCACCTCAATCTAATGTAACCCATTAATCACATCTCTGTAAGTTAGAAAACACTTGTTACCCACGTCAAAATTTGAAAAACAAAACATGATCCAACAAGAAAGAAGCAAGTTAAAAGATGGGTGGGGAAATGATATTTAAAGGGAAGAAAAGGGGGAAAAAAGAGACAGAGTACTAAATTAAAGAAGAAAATGAAAAGGGTTGAGGGGTAAGAAAAGTATTGGTGAGACATCAAGATCAAGATCAAACTTTTTTTTTTAAGAAAATGGTTTTATTTAATATGTTGGCAATGGTAGAGAAGACGGGAAAGAAGGGAAAAGGCATTTGGTACACGTGAGTGGGCCAAACGCCACACGCTCCTTTCGAATGGGAACATTCATGGCTGTTGATGAGCCGCGTCACACACTCTCTCTCTCCATTTCCTATGGATTTTCACCCCTTACTCATTTGCTTTGGGTGGTCCCCAGAATTACACCAGTCCGCTATTCCTTCCATTCATTATCAATTTTACGCATTATTTACGCCAGTTTTAGTATAGCTCAACTGGTTAAAGTTTATATTTTCGATTAAAATTTTGTAGGTTCGAATCTCAACTTCACATATTGTACTAAAAAGTCGGTCGGTCGGTCCTCTAAAGTTATAATCGAGAAGATGTATGTTGCAGGAGGTAAGGGGAAAGGAGGGATTTTTGTTTCAAATGAATGTGTGTGTAAATAGTTAGCAATTAAGTGGAAAGTCAAAGTGTATTGAGTGGAAGTGAGAAACAAGCACATGCCTTGGCCAAATTCAAACACACATCTCTAAATGTGAGAGTGACACAACAAAATTCAACAACATCACTCCTCATTTTTGTGCCAAACCTTTTTATCTTTGGGTGATTTTGTTCCAAGTCCTCCAAAAAGAGGCAACTTTCCAAAATTGTATGCCAAACCAGAATCGCCGGTGGTTTTAACACTCCTATTTAGGTTGGTTTTTGAATTTTTTTACTTCACTTTCAATTTAGGGTGTAGTTGTTAGGTTTTGGTAAAATATTGGAACAGAAGTTGTCCCATATTGTAAGAGTAAACTTCAAAGGCTGGAAATTGTCTCATGTAGAAAAGATACAAGTAGGAGGTGTGTTCTAACTACTATAAAAGGAGAGCTCATATGCTTGAGTTTTAATCATTTCGATTGAAATACGTAAGTTTGGTATACCAGCTCCATTTAACTGAGCGGTATTTGCTTGACAATCATTTTTACATAGTAGATTTTTCCTTGTAGGTTGTGGTTTTTTCTCCAGTTTGAAGGTTTTTCTCGTTAATTCTTGTGTTTTTCTATTTTATTGCTTTCTTTAAATTTTTCAGTTATTTTTGTGGTAGAAATAGGAGATTTTTTCTCATCAGTAGTCTATTTCATAGAAATTTAATATTGTATAGTCCTACTATGAATAAGAAGTAATAGGAATGATAACATTCAAAATGGAGAGGCCAAATTTTGGATTTTTTGTTCTTTTTGATTATTTTTTGATACTTAGTGATCTACTTCATCTTTTAAGTTTAGTTGGAAAGCTAATCTTTTAACTATCATCTTAACATGAATACCTTGGTTTAAGAAAAGATCTTACCTCATTTATCATATATACAAATAACCTGTCACGTTGAATTTTTTATTATTGCTTATAAAGAACAATGATATTTAGTAAGTTTTAGATTTCAGATACGAATAATAATAGTATTTCTTTGAAAGCACACGGAATAAAGATTAAAGCATAGTAGCTAAAAATTAATTTAACCATCATCCCTCCAATAATTTTGATCCAGTAATTATTGAAACCCACTCTTAATAATATATGTGAAATAATTTGATGTATGCAAGTAGTAACTTGTCATATCAATCTAATTAGTTAGGTTGTGGTTCTTGATATAATCACGTTTATTTTGTTAGTGATTTGCATAGTGTATTAAATAGTACAACATACTTTGCATTATATTTGTTATATAGTCCAACGATTTAATAAATCTTATCCATTCGTATTTGATAATTCAAAAATTTTTTTCAAAGATGTACGTTAGAGATAGATAGGTTGGAGAGATATTGTTAGCAAAAGTTAAAGATGTCAAGAGAGAGAATTGAGAGAGAGAAGTTATTGGTTTCTTGTTTTGAGATGTTCTCGAACAACAAAATTAAAAAGAAAAGTAATAAAAAAGTATGATTTATATTTTTGACTTATAAAGTGTATAAGAAATATAAAATGAAAATTTTGTATATTTAATATGAAAATTTAATTTTCATATAAATCTTTTTAAAAACAAAAATATGATGGAAATGGGTGTGTTGATGCATAAATTTGACTTCCTGTGATTCTGCAAAATTCGCACCAATATTCAAGAATAAAAGAGATCGACGAGACCTGCAAAATATAATATCATTAAAGACGAGTGTGACTCTTGCCACATAGGCTCCGATGCTTAAGTCAGAATCAGAGTAGTTGAGTACAAAGTGTAAAGTGTTGTGAGCATATCTTTAGATTTAGCTTACTTTCCTATCTATAGAGGTCGAATCCTAATCCCTTAAGCCCTTTAGGATTTACATCAGTTGAATCCTAATGCACTTAGGAGATCTAGACGGGGTGAACCTCATGTTGGGTCCGTTTGTTTCATTGTGGAATTAATGTCGAATCGAGAATCGAGGCGGGATGATTCGGGATGAACCGTTAGGGTTCTTGATTGGGGGATCGAGAACTGTTCGATACTGAGGAGGTCTCAATGCCGACCACTAGTTGGTCGAGGGCCGGCTCGGGTCGTCAGGTACTGGCCCCTTTTCCTGATTCGTGCTCACTTCTTGACTTTCTTCAGTCTATCGCCTAGCTGGATCTCGCTTATTTCTTTGTAACAGTAATCTAATGTATATATGAGTTTTGTTTTTAAAGAGTAGGAAATCAAAAAAGATAGAAAAGCCTGAGGGATAAATTTGAATCCACTCCACTTATTAACTTTGAAACTGAATTGAAGCCATGGATAATTAAACCTTCATAAAATTTAAAGCCAATTGAAATTAAATGCTCACATACAAGCTTGTAAATTACAGCTGAGAGGACCACTAAGTTGTACTTTTGTTGGCCCTTTTTTTCCTTATTATTCTAAGTTGATCCCAACTGGATATTCCAATCCTCACCTCCAATAATTACAAGTTGCCAATTTATACTACATTATAAAATATGTTAACTTCTAATTAAGTATTTTCAACTCTAACATTTTTAGTCTTTTATCATATTATTCTCACTTAATTCTACTTCCATTTCTACTTTTCTAGTTCAATTCTCTACATACCTTTTTGTCATTAATCTATCTCTTTTTATATATTTTTCCTCACTAAGATCGACCTTTTTTATAGGTATACTTTTTCTCACGAACTCTTCTCCAGGATATGCATACTTTAGAAGTAATTAAAAAAAGGATAAAAAGGGTATTATGATTTAGATATTGAATAGAAAGTTGTAGTAAAAAGGGCCATGGAAGATGCAAAAACCAAAGTGAGTAGAAATTCCAAAGTGAAAGGATATATCAAGATCTATTGCTGAATGAAATGTGATATATGTATGGACCCATTGAAAACTACCTTCACTTTGTATTGTCACTCTCAACTCTTGGCATTTTCCTCTCTGCCCCTCCAATTCTAACCATTTGTAGCCCAAACATAAATTTTTATGGGGAACATGCCTCGCTATACAAACTAGAGGACCATGATGTATAACTTCAATGTACCAATTTTGAAATTGTATAATTAACGAGAGACTTGAATTTGTTCCTATATGTAATCACGCATGACCAAATTTAAAAGTTATACTAGTGTCATGGATAGACAACTCATTCGTTTTATGACAACATACTCTCTTTTCTATCCATTATCGATATATTTATGGGGAACATGAACACTATATAACAGACACGATAAATGTTAGATGTACTAATTGATCTTCGTTTAAAGGTTGTAGTTAATGAGAGAAATCAATCTAACTCTTACATCGTTTGGGACTAAGTTTGAGATAGCCTACAAGGTGGAACATAGCGTTGGAGGTCCCTCTGGGCATATTCCAAAAAGGGGCGAGGAAGGGGAGAGACAGAGAGAGCGTGTACGGCAAGCTCCCTCGAGGGGATGAGAGGAAGTTGAGTATTTGAGTTTCTAGTTGATTAATGTTGAGTTTTAGAATGGAGCCACTCTACGCCTTATGCATTGGTTTTTTCAAACAAAAGGAAGATGTTAAATAACGTACTACTAGATGGTCAATCGATTGCTAAGCTCTATCAACTATAGCATTTTTCGTATATAAATGAGGTATTTATCCTGGTGTATGACCGATCACACACATTATTCAAGAAAACTTACCAATAGGTCATCCAAGTGATATCTTAGATCTAGACAACTCATTCTTGCTATTTTAGACTTGAGCCCATATGTATAGTTATGTTTCTTCAACTCTACCTATAAGACTTCCATGCAAATTAATAAACAAATGGGGAACTTCTATATTCTAATATCAAAATTTATATTCATCAAACTAAACCTAAAATAGATTAAAAAAAAATTGTCCATAATTCATACAATATTCAATTAACAAAAGACTCAAAATTGTATCACAAAATTGCTCAAACTATATCAAGAAAATATTCAGACCTAGGCACAAAATAATCAGATTAAAACTTTTCAAACTTTGCTACAAAATGATACCAACAGAAATGGTCTCTTCTAACTATAGAAACACTCACAGGTAGACACAAATCATTAAAAATAAATAAATAAATAAATAAATAATAAAAAATAAAAAAATTCTAATTGATGGTATTAGTTCTACCATTTATTCACATGTATAGTCTTAATAAATGAATAAAAAATAAGGCTCTTCTTTACTTAGAAACTCATGATTCCACTTTTTGGCATCCTGCTCTTGAAGGGGTGGAGTATTGGAGGGTCTGTTAGAGCTCTCTTCAACCTGCTCATAGCTAGATCGATCGGTTCCACGTCAAATAGGAATAATTAGAATATTCCACATTTGGAACTGATATGAAACTTTTTTCACATCCCTGGTACTTTTCAAATTGTTAAAACTAAAAATGCAAAATGTTCCTTAATCAACACATATTACCTTCTCAAAGTTTAGAGATTCGATATCTCCTCCCTAACATTTGTTAAACTGAAAAAAAAAAAAAAGAGAGAGTTCTGTTTCCTCGAACCAAACCAAGAAAGCCAACTTGTTTACTTATTTTCCATTTCTACACAGATCTGTCACATAACATTTTCGGCAATGTCCTCTTTTTCCTCCTTTCTGAGATTTGAATATCAGTAGGTATATGGGGCCTACCAAACTCCTAATTAAAATAATCTGCTTGATTTGATCATAAGATAAGGTTGATTTTAGTCTTATTTTAAAAAATGTAAACT